TCCTGATGTGGCTCATTTTCTCTGTCTTGACAAGTTTACGTTCTCTCTCAGCGCTTTCTACACTGCCATCTCTATATTTTCGTTATTCTTTACTGGTTTTCGGTCTGGTCTCTAGTAATTTGATTTCACCATCTTGTTATTTTCCCTGCTAGTGCAGGAAGAGGCTCTCCAAGTATAGTTCCAATAAGGCCCTGTGCAGGTCAGGAGCCCCTCTGCAGCAAGATGTGCTTCCAGAGGTCGCAGCCTTTGGCACTGATCACTCCTCCCTTCTTGCAAGGAAGTGGCTGAACTCTCCCAGTGTATATTCACTTGAAATCACGTCCTGAAGCCTTTCTATTCTCTTTATACCACATGAAACACAGTGAAACCTTCATGTCAGAAACTAGATAGTATTTATAATTTTGTTAGAATAATAACCAAGTGCGTTTCCACCAGAAAAATGCCTCAAAACTGGACTTTTTCAGTTTGGTCATTTCAGCAATCCAGGAATACATTCAGGGATAGTTCCATAGCTAATGCATTCTACAATGACCAATTCAACTTACATAAATAATACTTTTAATTTGTGTATTCTAATTGGATTAACAAGGGAATGATACTGTTTCTTTTGCAGTTGAGGACAGAAGCGAATGACCTCAACTGTGTTTTGCATAACAGGATTTCTTAGAACACATAACAGAAACCAGAAAATTGTGTCAGATAAAGTAGTTTAAAAATACACAGGAATAACTCATTGAGAGATTATCCCATGTGGAGTGCGGCAATCCCATATTAAAGAAAAGGAAAGTAAAAAAAAGAATTTTAAAAGCTTCATTTAAAGACAACTCTACCTTTAAAAGGCATGGTATGAACCCTCTATTGGGGACAGGAACAGATATGTAGTTATTTAAGAGATCTTAGCTCTTCCAGTAAAGCAATTCCAATGAAACAGAAAAGGACAAGGATATCCTCTGTTCCTCTAGTCCTATTGGTTTGTATGTCTTAATTTGTCTTTATAGATGCTTAAATCTGTTGAAGCAGTACATTTTCCTTCCTTGAAATCTGGTGAGTTTAATACATTATTTTATTACATTAAGGTAATCAATATGAAATATATTTGAAATATATTTCTGAAATCTGACCAGGAAGTTAGTTTTTGCTCTAGTGAGAGGCTGAATTACTTTGGAGAGTATATGTGCTGTGTTTCACAGCAAGTGTTTATGAATGAAACAGATGTTTAGGCAGCTTTATTTCTAGCAGATTTTTTTATATGTGATATTAGTAAACACTTTCCAGTGATATTCTGCCAGCATGGAATATAACTTTTTTCCATATGTATACTCCGTATGTGAAATTGTGAGGCTTAACTTTCACACATTCTAGTGCGCACTTTCTATCCTCTCACATGCCAAATTACCAATACTTCTTTTTTCCTTTCTGGCATTAATTTTTTCTCATTTGATATCCAATTTTCTGAATGAATTATGACAGTAATCCTTTCTTCTGTGCTGTTACTTCATTTATTCCACACTATATATTCAGGGTTTCTGAGGTCATTCTTCTCCCCCACTGCCCCTTGTTTTGGTAATGAAAGATAGGATTTATTTATGCTGATTAAAATAATTCTGAATGATTTTATGTTCATTTTAGCTCAGATAATCTGAACTGCAAAAATTAAATTTATTTTGTAACCATTTATGCAGAATGTAAGGACTTACATTTGTTGATGATACAGAAAAACTCTATGAACTCACATTTGGAAGGAACAAAATTGCTAACAAGATCTGTGCCTGGAACAGGGGTTAAAAGACTAAGAAGCAGTACTTATAAGATCTCATGGAAAGAAAGGTGCAAAATTACCTTCTTGAAGGGAAAAAAACCTGTGGATATTATAGTTGATTCTTTCCAAACACAAACATTTAGAAAATGTCTACTTCAATAGGAAAGATAATTAGAATGGCAAATTAGACATCTGTAAATGTGAAGAAGGCAGAAAACATCATGCATTTTGACGGTGAAACCCTTTTTCTTCTGTAGAGACAATATTTCTCTTGAAGTACATATATCTTAATTTATCCACAGAATAGTCAGGCAGAAGGAGATGTGCTTAGTGCTTGCCTGTTAGTGCAGTTAATGCAGAAATAACTTGCTGTGTATGCACAGCCAGCTGAATGGAGGGGAGAGCCCTGTGCTATCAAAGGTTCCTCCTATCAAGGATTGCAAGCCTGCCTGTCCACCCCAGCCAGCCCTAGCCAGAGTCCCATGACTGTGCTAATGCCAAATCAGTGAGAGCTGCTTGCTACTCATTTAGCAAGTTGAATAATGTGGTGATTTTTTTCCATGCGTAAAGAAGCTTACTTTGTGCTGGATCTCAGTGTTACCCTGACTGTTCTGAGGCTTCTTCTCAGCCTGTGCTTTTTGCATTTCCCTATGATTATATAGGAAAACTATGTACTGGGGGGTAATTCTTCTGGTAGAGAAGTCAACAGGATCAGGGCTGCTATCTTTGTGCACTGCCTTGCACTATGGCAAATTCATAGCCAGTCCATTCTGCCTCCTTGCCTGAGGAAGCCTCATCTCCTCTCTTAACACTTACTTTACTTTTCTCTCCAAAGCACTGAGTATCAGAGGTGTTGTGGTATTTCACACACAGGATGTCTCAGGCAGTCTAAGTTTATCTGCAAGAGGTCTGCCTGTGCTCTGGAGCAATCTGTGCAATTTCTGTTGTTTTGAATCTGAAGGACTGCTTAGCAAACTTCTATCAGAAGTTTCACAGTCCCTGGCTCTCCAGGTGGTGACCAGCTGTGAGAAGCTCTGGCAGTCCCTCTCCAGGCTGCATCCATCTGCTGGGTCAGAAGGGAGTGTTGCAACAGCAGCGTTCCCACAGCATGAGGAGAAGGTGCTGGCACTGGTCCTTCTGTATATTCTTACCACTTCTCTTCACCCCCTTGTTGCTGTGATTTAATGGGAGTCACTTTTGGTGATAGAATTTAATGGCATTTGGATCAGTATAAGTCTTCATTTAATGGACAAGATATGCAAACTTTTTTATTTAGGGCTGCAATAGATACTGCTGTTTAAAAAATTAACCCTGAATACTCTGAAGCATACAGGGACATGTATTTGTGACATTTAAGCTAGGAATAAGAGAGTCACTGAACTGAGAAGTGATTGTTCTTTTTCATGGAGCTTTGTGTATGATGAAGTGACATATGGCTTGGTTTATACAGGACCTAAAATTCTCTTAAAGTAGTATCTCAGAACATTTTACATTCTTCCCATAAATTCTCAGCAATAAATGTTCTGTTTCAGTATAAATACAAAAATAAAATGCATTAGGTAAAACCTAATTCAGATTCAGGGCAAAAGAGTACATAAAAGATGTTATGCCATCGGAAAAATCCAATCACAGGCAATTATGAGCTCTATTGACACTGGAGGAAGCAAGATATGTGGATAATAACTTCTGGTGCATCTCAAAAGGAAGTACTCTGGAAATATTTCCATTGTTCAATAAAGCACCTGCAAGTGTATTCGGTTTTCAGAAATGGAACTTATGTTCAGATCAGCCCTATGTGGGGAAACTATCTGCAAAGAGACTGAAAATAATTATTTGCTGATAGGGCAAGAGAAATAAAAAAGGCCCCTTTAATTTTTCAAATTTCAGACTGGTTTTTTCAAAGTTAGCAGAAAAAGATAGGAATGTTTTATGTAGGTTCTTGAATACTCTTAATAATATCCAAAATTACTATTTAGAGCAGAAGCACATATTAAGTCATGTAGGATCAATTCAGGGTCAGCTCTTAAAATCCATACTTGCAATTAACTTTCAGTAATGCCTCAGTTCTTACTATTCTGTCAAATTCCATCAATTTAATCAGAGGTTGGATGACATGTTAAGCAACAAACTGACAAATTCTGCCAGCAAAGTGATACAGCACATACAGTTCTTGCTGTCAGCAATGTGCAGTCAGGTCTTTTCACCAGCTACCTACCTGGGCTACAGGAATTGTTTTGGGTAAAGATAGATTCAGTTGTTGGTATGAAGCAAAAAACTTGGCTGCTTTTGTTTCTGTTGATGCTGAATTTCAGTTTTTAATATTGTAATTATATTTAGTAGTATTTCAGAACATTTTTCAATCATCAGCTGATCTAAGAAAGCAAGACTGAGCTAAAAGAAATGCATTTTGGGGCTAGAAATTAGCAGCAGAACTTCACTAAATATGACACGTATATAATGAGACCCTGTGTGTAATGCACATATCACTACAGCCAGATGTAGATTATCTTTACATCAGTCATTACAAAGGCCACTGAGCAAGCAAAATATTTAGAACATTTATTTTCATTTATTGATTATCTGAAATAGGTTGATTAAGGAAAAAATAACTGTTTTGCAAAGAGACAGTGAAATCTAATCTTGTGCAGCTAAAGGAACACTCCCTAGGTCTGGTTTTTGCTCCTTGCTAGTTCCATGTATGGCCTTATCTGTTGGTTTCTTAAGATCTGTAGAGAAAAGTTCATCCATGGAGAATTCTTTGGGAACGACGCGTTGAGAAGGGTCAGTACAGTGTCAAACATGACATTATTTTGATTTCAACATTTACAGTCACTTCTCCCAAACTCCAGTAAGCTCTCTGGCTCACCACGGACAACTCCCTCTCACCAGGTAGCCTTTCTTTTTAAAGTGCTGGAAGTGTGGGAGGCTTCCAAGCAAACCCTGATTATTTTTTTCCCAACAGAGTAGGGTGGAGATGAGGGGTATTTCAGCACTGCTGGCTGCTGCAGGAGGAGGAAATCTACTACAGATAAAGGCACAGCTGCAGTGAGAGAGAGGCAGTGGGCAGAGAGGGGCAGAGGTTTCTCTAAGAGATTTTCTTGCTAATCCCTCTTCCCACTTTCACTCTGCAGCACTAAACTTTCCTCCAACTGAAACATTTTTTCCTCAGTTATTATTGGAGAGCAGAAGGAGGAGGAATTTGTTCACACTTCTGTTGAAGAGAGCAAACATCTCCTTTTAATCCTGAATGTTATTTACAGAGTTGAAACTCCACTATTACATTATATTATTTTTGCTACTGAACGAAGGAATGGATGCATTCAGAGTATTTGAAAATGGGTCACTTTTGCCCAGTTACTCTGCTCCTGCCAGATGGGATCCCTTCCATCGTCCCCTGGACTCCATCCAACCCTGGCAATTCAGGCTTCTGGCAGCAGTAATGTTGTTAGTGACCTCCCTGTCACTTGCTGAGAACCTGGCTGTAATCCTGGTAACTTTTAAGTTCAAGCAATTGAGACAACCTATCAATTATATTATAGTCAATTTGTCTGTGGCTGATTTACTGGTCTCACTGACTGGTGGTACCATCAGCTTTTTAACGAATCTAAAAGGTTATTTTTTTATGGGATACTGGGCTTGTGTATTGGAAGGATTTGCTGTCACATTTTTTGGTAAGCTTGATTTTGTTTGTATTTGTATGTTCTTTTCCTTCAACTTCCTTCTATGTATTCTACTGCAGTTTCCTAAGTCACTGACTTTGCATGCATTTTAATTCACTGATATTTTTCCCTTGTTACATAAGTTCTGCAGTGGAGAGTGAAAAATATATCTCTCTATCCCTGTCATATACATAGCCTGTTGCATGTGTACTGATCACTGAATATGTTCCATAGAATGAGGAAAAGCTTTCCAGTAGAATAGCAGTGTTGTGGGGATTATGGTAAAACAATTTCAGGATAAAATTCATTATACATATCTATTTTCAAAATTTGTATTTAAGTGTGTGCATATGTGGATAAATAAGAGAGAGAGAAAAAGAGTAAGTGGCTGCCCATAAACTCTGGAAAATCTCAGGGTACGGAACATCTTGTGTTCTCCGTCCTTCAGGGGCTCTGAGGAGCAGGGACACACCTGTAACAGTCTGCACACCAACATCTTTTTTTTTCGTGGCTTTGTTCACTTACTACCAAAAAATATTAGAAGTACTCTAAGAGGAAAAATCCTCACCCCACATAGTACCCCATGTAAATACACCTCTGCAGAATAAATGGGGTATTTATTTAGAACAGGGCATCTACTCACTTGAGACAGACACTCATTCCTGTCCCCATCTCTGAAGCTGCATGAAGACAGCCAGTAATGCTTGTCCCTGCTCTAAATCACACAGTGCTGATCCTCAGCCCAAAAAGGAGTCCCACAGCTGCTCTCTACTCGTTTAAGATAGACAGAGGGAATGTCGCTGAGGGACAGTGCTTCTACATCTGTTTGTGGCATGTAAGCCGTTTCCTATCGATCAGGCTATTTCAAGATTTTGGTGTCCCACCAGGTAATATGTGCAAAAATTGATAATTTGATGTTGTGGACAGCTCTCTGCAGGTTTGAGTTTTCTGATATCGTGAAATAATTTTTACAAAGATAATGTTTTGAAGATTTTAGTTAATTAATTTGGATGCTACACATTATTTGCAGCTTTTCAGTGCAGAACTAAAAATGCAAGTCCTGGTCACTTAACTGGCCTGATTAGCTGCTTGATTTTGTAGCACTCATACTGTAGACAGGCAAATTGGACAAACATGACATTTTTATGCTCTTCATTAGTATTAGAATAATGCATATAAATTGCCCATGCTTTCTTAACTCGTGCTGATAGAAAAGGTATCTGATGTTGTAGGTAGTCAAAGAAGGTAACCAGTTGCCCAGAATGGTTGTAGAGTCTTCATCTGCAAAGATACTCAAAACCCAGCTGGACTTGGTCCTGAACAACCTGCTAGATGGACAGTGCTTGAAGGGGGAGTGATGACCTCCAGAGATGCTTTTCAAAATAAACAGTTCTGGGATTCTGTAACTTGTGATGGTGTTTGCTTTTCAGCTGTGTACCCAAATTTGATGCTGACCGTTCTCTTGCTACAGGCATTGTAGCTCTCTGGTCTCTTGCTCTGCTGGCTTTCGAGCGGTACATTGTGATCTGCCGCCCGCTGAGAAATGCGCGCTTGAGGGGGAAGCATGCAGCTCTAGGTATTGTCTTTGTGTGGAGTTTTTCCTTCATTTGGACCATTCCACCAACAACTGGTTGGAGCAGTTACACTACCAGTAAGATTGGGACTACTTGTGAGCCTAACTGGTAAGGCCACTCTCACAGTGTATGGTAAAAAAATGAAACTTGCATTTCAGGATGCCTCAGGGCCAGGAGTATAAAGGAAAGGGTTAAAGATGATGTAAATATCTGGAAAAAAACCCAGCTGTAAAGAAAGTTGTAATAAAACTGATAAAAATTTTCTGTGATCACCTTCTAAAACAAAAATTTCTAAAGAATGGAGCCTCCATCTCTAATGAAAATAATCACCCTAGACTTTGTGCTTTTTGTCAGGAGTCAAAGAAGTTAGATTTTTTTCAGAAGACTGGACAAAGCTCTTAGCCAGCTAGTCTGACCCCATAGCTGGCTCTGCTTGGAGCAGGAGGTTGTACTACATGTCCCTTCCCATGTAATCATCCCCACAGTTCTTTCATACTGTACCTGTAGTTGTAGGATCCTCTCCTAGCCCCTGGCAGGGAGATGGCCCAGGGCTCCATCTGGTGATATGACTAGAGCTGAAAAGGGGCATGTTGAATAAAAACATTTGACAAAAATACTAGTGACATCTTTGAAAAAAATATTAATATTCCAAGAAAATAATAAGAACACGTAGTAGTAATACCCACAAAGGTATTTTGTATTTTATACAGGTACTCAGGAACTTATGCTGACCGTACATACATTATTACATTCTTCACCACCTGTTTTATAGTACCCTTATTGGTGATTTTGGTATCCTATGGAAAATTGGTGTGGAAGTTAAAAAAGGTAAGAAGCACCCATAAGTAAACTTCTAAAATGTGTGTGCATGCAAAAGTTTGGAATTACTGTGTTTTATTTTCTATAAAGATCAGATGTCAGCAGTTCAGATTTGCAGGCAGCAAGCACACTCAGTTACATCCCTTGTTATATAGTTACCCTTACACACAGAGATTCATGCTATGGTTAGAAGTGGTGTTTTAAAGTGTGGAGTTCACATCACTTATCAGTACATCTCGTTAGTTAAACATAATACAAGTGAAAGAATGTCTACCTCAGAAATAAACGGAACACTCCAGTACTGCTTTATTCACAATTATGCTTCAATTCATTGATATTTCATAAGACTCAAACCAGGAAAATTAGAATGTGGCTTGGAATGACTGCAGTTGTAAATTTTAAGAGTGCTGCCTACTACTTAGTAATATGCTCAAAATAAGATTCAGCCTTTACAAATAATGAAATGCTGTTTAATAAAAAATTGTCAGGAATATTGAAAGGACTTGAGAAATGCTTTTGAATTTTCTTTAATGGCTGTGTTGACCTGATCCAAAGAGGAAGCTGCAAAAAGAGACAAAGAAGACAATAGAACAGGAAAATTCCTATTTGGTCCAGGATTTGGGGACAAGATTTTGGGACAATATTGATACTCTATCTACTGCAAAGCTCTGAAAAGCCAGTACCTGCAACACATTCTGTAAACCTATATTGAATTGCCATATGACTGTATCTCACTAAACTAAGCTCATTTTCAAAAATCTGACTATAGTGAACAGAGAGAGATCCAAGCAACAGAACTGGTGTCTTGTTGTTCCCAACCATCCCTCTTCATGCATTTTGTCCCACATTTGTCACAGCACAGACTTGTTCCCAAGTGGAATAATCTGCCAGTCCCTCAGTCCCAGCGACGCCAGCTTTATAATGCCAATTGTAGCTTGCATTGCACCATCAAAGTTGATGAAAGAAATTAGTTGAAAAGTTGATGAAAGAAAATAAATAAATTAGCAGTTTACAATAGAGGTAAATTATTTTGGCAGTATTCCTTTGTTTGGAAGACAAGGCACCAGTATGTCTTTCTTTATCAGTATTTAGAGAGAAAGGAAAAGCTATATGTGAAAAAAAGACCAGGCTGTTAATGAGACAATGATGAAACCTTTGAAACTACAATAAAGGAGGTTGTGTTTCTTTTCCAGGGGACTGCAATTCTGCTGAAAGAGAGGCTGGGGTGCTCTTTGTAGGAACAGCATACAGTAAAAAATATTATGGAAATCTCATATATTGGAAGGGACTGTCTTATCAGTACCAAACACATTAATGCCAAGTAACTTGCAGTTATTGTAAAAATTCATTGTTGTTGTTGTTGTTATTATTGTTGATGTTGTTATTATGTTTATATTTGGTAAAAACTGATGTGAATTGAAAATTTCTACAGAGGTGAGGACATTACCCTTCCTAGGAGGTGCATCTATACCTCTTTAAGCACAAATGTTGAAATTTTCTTCAAGTGCAGTTCAAAAGTATAAAGTAAGGAAAATGTTTCCACAGAGTTCTAACATTACTGCAGAAGTTAAAAAGCCACATTATACAAACAAATCTTATTTTATTATAAACAATTGCAAGATCTGGTATCAGGTTTTTCTGGAGCCATACAGAGTTATTAATGATTTCTTGTGTAAAATAACATTTCATAACAGCACCTTTTTTCTCTAAGTCATCAGAAACCAGACAGGGATGCTTCCCAGAAAGACACTGTTTGACATCAGCTAATCTCTGTATGAACCTCTGTGCTTAAGCTTCTTGCATGATCACTGAGGAAAAGAGGGAGAGCATTCCTACTAAATGCCCTAATCCCACTTTAATTCTGATATAATTAGATCATAAATGCTCTTCTGGGGAAGGCCATGGAGCACCACTGAGCCAGACAGACTCCCCTGGTGTGAATTTGCCCCTCGGTGAGGAGGTTGCACAGCCTCAGCAGTGCTGTCTGTAATACCCATGCCAGACACCCAGCTGTCTGCAAAAGCTACATGGAATAGAAAGTGTTTGAATTCAGCTCACTATCTGCTTATGACATGGTCCTTCTTTTTCACTTTGACAATACAAATATAAAGATAGTTAAGCGAAGAAAAATTTACTAATGCTGGTATGTGGTAATTTGTGTCCCTCAGCAGTAACTTTGGCACCCATCCCTCTGTGCTGCTGCTCTTGGGAAGAACAGGTCTTTCCTTCTAGCATGGCCGCTAGACAGCTCACTGTTTGTTTTTTAGAATCTTTTCTGTTTTCTTAAAAGGTGTCATATGCACAAGGCAGGCTCGGGGCTGCCAGGAGACCTGAAAGACAAGTGACTAGAATGGTTGTTTTTATGATCGTTGCCTTTCTAATCTGCTGGATGCCATACGCTACCTTTTCTGTCCTAGTCACCACATATCCCTCCATTGAGCTGGATCCTAGTCTGGCAGCAATTCCAGCCTTCTTTTCCAAAACAGCTACAGTTTATAATCCAGTTATTTATGTCTTTATGAACAAACAGGTACTGTATGCTCTCAGAGTGTCTCTAACACTCATATTTTGCTATTTTGTCTTGCTTTATAATGAATTATTTCTACCTACCTATATGATAGCTAAAAAGCATTACAATAGCCAGCATTTAGAATGAAAAAATAATCTGCCTGGTGGAAGATAGTGTAAATCTCTGAGCATTCTTGAAATATAAATGTTAATAATTATTAGGTTTAGATATTATAAAGGAAAATCAGCCCTTAGGGAACATGAGTTAGCTTCCTGTATGAAAATTATGTTCTCAAGACTGTCCCAGTATATTTCAATAATTCTTTAAGAATGCAACACCATTAAGTTGATCCTGAAGTCGGGTGCACATTTTCAAAGCTTGAATTTGTCTTGGGGGAATGAGGCATTTGTGGTTTATGTGCAGGGGGGCTGGAAGTATTGCACATGCCCATTTAACAGAGAGCTTTTTTCTCTGGAATGAGGGCAGAGGATTGGATGCAGGAAAAAAACCTGACATGGGGATGAACCAGAGCGCTGTGCGCTCACAGTGATAACAGACGTGATAATAAACCTGGGCAGATTTCTGCAATGAATAAAGCAACTGAGAGTGATGGTATCAAGCACATAAATTAAATAAAGAAAAACAGCAAAATAACTGTTGAATAAGAAATGGTGAATTTATTTATCCAGTCCCGCAGAGAGAGCTATTGCTTATCTCACATCCTGTGGACAGCACGCTGATCTCCCAAACCATGTAGATGTGTGCTACACTTTACCCTGTTTGTGGATGAGAACAACAGAAACCCATCTTTGAGTAGCCAGGAATTTAGTATATGAAAGCATGAGTCTGGAGAAATGGCCAACTATGTCCATTAGATATGATTAGCTAGAAGCAGAAAAGAAAAATTATTTTCTAGATTAAGACTGGCTCTTTTCAGAACATAGTTAATATTTAGGTTTAGAGTCCTTCGTGGTGGCATAGGCAAATCTATTTTATAGGGTTATTTTTTATATTCCCAACTGATTCATAAGAGAATTTCCAAGACTTTAGCTAATATGCAGATTGATTTATAGAATTGTTTTTACATTTCTTACGTGTTTTGACTTACCTCTTTTTCCACCTTTTTAGTTCAGGCAGTGTCTGATTCAAATGTTCAGTTGCAGTGCCGTAGAAACTGCAGAGTCCAACATGAAGCTGACTTCAGAGAGAGCAATGCTAACGGAGGGCAGAAGAGGCAGCGAGAGGACGCCCGTGGCAGTTCATAGCACTGTTTTGAAGAGGAAAACTGGAGATGAACACAGAGCTGACATCCTTTGGCTCTGTTGACAGCTTCAGAAAACAAAACGCGTCCCATGTAGAGCAGGAGATGGCTCATGAATGCAACGCACTGTAGTGTATTTCATTGTTACAATCACCTACTATAAAGATATGTTGTCGCTGGGGTCCTGTGGACACCAGCTTTTGAGATCCCAGGCTCCTCAGTGCAGGTAAGAGCTGCTTGGCTGGGTGCAGTCAAGCACCCAGCCATAAGGTGAGTCCCTTCCTCCACTGCATTTCTCTTCCCAATCCACAACCAACTTGCAGCAGGTGTGTGTCCCTCCACTCCTTTAGTGCCTGTTTCTGCTTAAGTCGCACCCTCACTGCTTTAATTGGGCTGCTGATTCCAGAATAAATTATTAACTTGTTCATACACCTTCACTTTCAGAAGCAAGGACTGTAACACAAATACTGCTTCTATAAATAGTGAAAACTAATGTAAATTGCCAGCTTTCTGTGTCTGTATTCTATCTCATATTTAATCCACACAATGAAGTGCAGCAATATATTTAGCTTTAGTGGAATGTCACTTGCACATGAAAAGCCATACCAGATTATGAGTGTAATAAAGACAGACTTCTGTTTTACAAAGTGGGATCATTTTATGAAATGTTGCTAAGAACTAAGCTTGTGCTAAGGCACATTGGAATTTTAATCCTATATAAAATTCAGCTTTAATTGAATGCATCTTAGGAGAAAAGGCAAAGGCTGACTGTATTTAAATGCTTTAGGATGGGAAACCATTCTTTCTAGAGAAGATATCAGAACAATGCCAGCTGGAACAAATAATGTTCCATAATGGTACAGAGAAGCTACACTAGCTCCATTCTGTACAGGCCTTAGCTATAGAGATGTGATATGGAATGAACCATCCATGGTTCAGTTTTACTTCCAAAAAATAGAATTATTTTACTCAGAATAATGACATTTTGTTTCTATCAGATTGGGTTTTTTTTGATTTCTGTTATGTTAATGTTTGAAAAACTATATTGCGTTTAAAAAGAGTTGGGGCTACCTGAGATACCTGTGGTCAAAGCTAGTCACTAAGCAGTACCTCGCTGACTTGGAAGTAAAGAACCATTCCTGCAGCAGCTGGAGATGCTGGAGGGCCAGGAAAAGATAACACGGACATCCAGCACCGAGCATATCCTGAAGCCCTGATATGTCACAGAGGCTGGTTTCTGTATGACTCCCCTGCTCGTCAGGAGGTGAGCTGTAGCTGCCTGCTGGGGTGGAGGGACAGGCACAGGAGCGTGTCCCTGAGCCACTCTGGCCTTGGCATGCCCAGGGAACTGCTTGGCCATCTGTTCCTGCTTGTGCCCCTCACAGCACTCACACCCATGGACAGTCATGCTCTTTGTTTTGCATCTTACAAAACCCTTTGGACCTTTTCTACAAGGTCCTTTGCAGAAGAGGAGAGGATTAGGCAGCTTTGAATCCTTTTCTATCTTCTAATTAGAAGGATGTTCAGATTCCATTGCCCTGATTTCATTCTGGGATTTTAAGATCCAAAGAGAGGAGTTAGTCTACGAATAAAATCATGAGCTGCACATGTGAGAACTCACTGCAAAAGACTGTATGGTTTTCCTATTCATCTCACAGAATTTTGAGGTGACTGCTTTTCAGAGTGTAATTTTGGCTTGAACTTTTGCAAGACTCAATCTTAAACACAAATGTTGATCCTTATTCTGACAGGCATATTCTTTACCATTCTTTAATCCTGTGGTATCTGTAGTAGAACAATGAACAGATGTATATGCCTTTTAAAAATGTTTTGGAAATACTGTGAGATAGGAAGAGTATGGTATTAATTTATTAATTCTACGCATCTTTTTGTGCTCATTAGTCCATTAAAACAGCCAGATATAATTTGAAAGTGAAAATTTTTGCATTTAAGACTCAGATTTTCTATTTCAAGGATATATTGACCTAGGTTAATCACAAGTTAATGGTATTACATATATTAAATCATGAAGAATTGGCAGAAGTGCTAGTCTTTAATTAAAAGCAACAGAATTATTTTATCTCTGGAGAAGGTGAGGAAATGTAAAGTATAGCTGTGTAGTACAAAGTAAAGCAACAAAAATTAAGTAATTGCAAAGAAAAAACTAATGTAAAAAATGCATGGAAATTATGTAAAAATGTATGGAAAGCAATAGAAAACAGCAAGCTATCTCTTTGAGATGTACCCATCTCTGATAGAAGCAAGGAATAATAGAATCAGTGGGTATTTTCATCACTAATGCTTTTCAGGAAGAGGATACCTTTTTTCTTACTTACCAGTCAGAAAGTACATTTTAAAAAGTGTGAACACCTTGACACATTGTCATGGTGGGCCAACCAGAACAGTATCAGCCTGGGAGCAAAATATTACAGGGCTCCCAGGAGCTGGTTGTTAAATCTTTCAATAACACAGTAAAAAAATTTTGGAAATACAAACAAAACTAGGGCTTCAGAATTGTGCACAGTGATTAAAGTCACACATTTTTGCAGTATGTGGTAAGAGCATGACATTAACATTTTGCCATATACAAAAAGTAATTAAGGCAATGGATGCTTTTAAGACCTAAGATTTCACGAATAAAAGGTGTTAACAGTGCCAAAGTCAGTTTGCTTACACTTGATTGGGAGCTAATAAACAGCATCTTGTGTCCTTGAATTTTCATTTTGCCACCAAGAGTATACCTAGAAATCACATTTCTTAAAACAATTTTGTAGCATTGTCTATTGTTTGCAAAACTAGCATCGTAGCACTACAACACTTTGCTTTGTGATAATTGCATCCTAATGGTGTAACCTGGAGAAAGATACAGCCCTTCCTACAAATCTTCCGTGGCATAGGGAGGCAATTGCAAATGTCAGCAATACTTCATCAATCTACTTGTTTGCAATGGAAATATGTGGTTTTTTGTTTTGTTTTTTTAATATAAATTATGGTTGCCATAAGAGTTACTGTTGTGTTATTGAGGTCATGTTGGTTCCTTTGGGATAACAGTATGATAGGCAACAACACTGAAGCCTAGCTAAACATTTCACTGAGTGAAAACCAGAAATTATGGAAAAGATAACAGGAATCTTAGGACCCTTCTGGTGCTGGAGACCTCATGTTTCAGCACGAAATTAATCTCTCCTTTTAGGTCATGACATGCTACCCAGACCCTATCCAGGATGAAGTGTTCCAACCTTGTTCTTGATGTCTTTATGATATGTCCAAGTGAACAGAGCTGCCCATCTTGTGTCTGTGCAATGCTGCACTTTCTAGTTGGCACACCACGGTTCTCTCTCACTGGGAATGAGCCCATAGAGGTGCATTTTTAAGGCAAGTGTATCCTGATGTCACGGCATGTGCACAGGGTATGGAGTGGTCACTCAGGCTAATGAACAGGTCTGTAGAGCTGAGGCCTCTAAACTCTGCTCAGGCTCTGTTTGGAATCACTATCTTCTCATTTCCATGTCTTCTGCTGTGGCCCACCAGAGCTACTCTGCATTTATAGTTGTGTCAGTTCTTTCTCATGGAAAAACTAACACACAAATCTGTTCTTAAAGTTGTATATTCTTGAGAAAAAAACCTGAACAAAAAAGTGGATCTGGGAATGGGGGAAAATATCCAAAATAGCTTTCAAAAATAATTTCAGTAAGAGATTAAATACTGAAGTTTGAAAGTACATTGTCCAAGCTATTTTCCATAGCCTCAGATTTAGAGAAAGGATACATTTTAAAAGGTCATAAGATCAGCTCACCTCATCACCCACTTGCAGGGATGATGGTGAAAGCTTAGACACAATGTAGTGTTGGTGCACTTTTCAAAATGTTCATGTTCTTGCTTTGGTAACAAACAGCACAGCTTCTCTGGGGATCCCTTACTGCTTTTTGAAGATACCAATGTCTCAACATGCAGATTTTGTTTCTCCTAAAACCACATGTACTGCAAAACACTGCTGGAGGAGTTCTTGTTCAAAGTGCAATGGCATGGAGAGGGGCAGAGATTGTTACTGAAGATCAGCTCTACCAGAAGTTCACCATAAACCAGATTATTCCGTCATAGCTCTGATGCAGATTAGCTTCTAAATCATCTATTTGTATCTCATTATAAACAGATAAATTAACGTAACATTATAAAGCAACTGTCATTGCTCCTTTTGCAAATATTTTTGCCTTGTTTTTTGGTAAAAATGCACTTAACCACATATCTGAGTTTCTTTCACTTTTGAGTGAAAAGACCTTGCCCTTACCCACACTGAACCTTTATTGCCAAGGGCTCTGAAAACAAAAATGCAACTATCAATCAAACCAAGTTTGAGAAACACATTTCTCTCAGTTTCTGAATTTGGATGGAGTATTAATTCCTACTTTTTGTTTGTTTGTTTGTTTTGTTTCCTGCTTTCTCCATTCATTTCTTTACTGTGTTCAGAGCAACACCTCCAAAATAAAACACTTCTAATATTCTCCCTGTGGTTGCTCTTACTTGCAGATCTGGCATCCCACTCAGAGGAGACTCCTTCCCCCAACAAATGCACTTGCAAAGGAGAGAAGGGTTTGACAGTGAGATGAGGTCTAAGCCTAAGCAGATTCAGCATTCACATATGTTTAGACTGTCCTGATGTTCCTCAACCACCATTCCAGCCTGAGTGTTCCCACAGATATGCACAGGGCGGACATATTTGACATATTTGTTCACAGTCTAGCTAGAGGAATAATATACATATTATATGGCTAGAACGTTTCTGTTTAGTTATGACCTCAGTGAAAATGATTATCCAAGAAAACAGAGTCATTAACATTAACAATAATTCTCATCTCAATTATTTAGAAATATGATTTTAAATGATTGGTGGAGAGAAGATTCCTAGAAAATTTATTGTAATGTTCTTTATTATAATACTTAGTATTATAGATTGTACTAATTTTTCTTTTTATTACATTATATTGAAGTCTCTTTCCTTTTCTATGTCACAAATAGTTAAAAATCTGTGAGAGAATTTAAGCGCCTTTCAGCAATTTGGCATACCAGTGTTATCTCAACTATTATCTAGCTACATCAAGATATTAATGTAGTCATCTCTCTTTGGTCTCAATGAATTACTATAAAAATGTCAAACAATTAGATTATATTGGCCAACACAGCCCTGTTTGATTGAGTAGGCCAGATGTA